TTCACATAGACTTCTGGAGTTTACTGCTCACAAGAAAAACTTAACAACAAGCCACCTTTCTCAAAAGGAAATTTAGTAATAAAATGGCTAAGTTAATGGATAACTAGAGAATAGAAAGATATTCAGGTAATAATAAGGTATTAACATTTTGTGTGAGTGCATGGTGTGTGCTTTGTTTTGTTTTAATGAGTAAAAAAATCAGAATAATACTGCTCAAGAAACATTTTGATTCTAGTGTATATTTATAGTTGACAGTAGTGATTACTGGAATAGCCTAGATTTAAGACACAGAGGATTAAACCCGAGCAGTAGTGATGGGAATGAAAAAAGCAAACATGGACTTGTGAGCAATATCAAGGGAAGAACCAACAAAAACTGGTAAACTATTGGATGGAGGGATGGAGCAAATCAAAGAATATTTTTAAGCTTAGGGAGCTGGAAAAAATGACAATACAATGAAAAGAAATTGAAGTGTGAATTCTTCAGGGATATTCAGAGTTACCCAGTTTTGGGAGAAGAATAGAAGCTTAGTAGAAAGAGACATAATAAAGGATTTGGCCAGTAACGCAAACAAGATAACCAGTAGTCAGTTACAAGCATGAGACTATAGTTTGGGATGACTGTGGGCCTCTAGAAGTCCGAGACTATTTGCTTTCTTGTTTGAATTCCCCAGCACCTGGGACGGGGCTGAGGTCATTGTTTATGCTCAGTGACTGTGGCCTGGCTGGCTGGCTAACTGCACAGAGGTACCGATCACCATCTCCACAAAGAAAATGATTAAGCTGTGAGCATGGACAAATGCCACATTCAAGGGGAGGGAACACAGAAGGAAACCAAGAGAACAAAGTCTGGAGGAATAAATACACTGAAGGAATTGGAAGGAAAAAAAAAACTAATAATAATAGAGACAGCAAAGGTTAGAGAATTAAACCAAGAGAAAGAAAGGGGAAGGGAAGGGAAAAACAATACTAGAATCAGAACACGGTAAGAAGAGATGCTCCTTATTCATAATTTGAATATGTGTGTGTGTGTGTGTACTTATATAGAGAGAGACACTCACAGAGAATGCATGCCTGCAAAAATTACAGTCACATTTAGTGAGCAAAAATGAAAATCATGAAAATGTTTCCTTTATAACTTAAAATAAATAAATTAATAGCTCCTGTCACACTGATTCATCTATTGCATGTGGGTACCCAATATATGTTAACTGAATTAAATTAATAACATTTGCTAGATGGCAATAAAAAATTAATTAACTCTCTGTCGTTCTCTTACTTAAGTTTATGCCCATTGGTTCCGCAATTATTTCTAGCCCAAACATGAATTTTCTATTTTACTGACTTTTAAGATACACTTTAATTTTTTTCCTAAGAAATAGAGTTGAACTTCTAATTTTTGTCCTAATTTTGGTGCGGCTTTTTTTTTTGTTGTTGAAAAAAATTATTTTCTCTAAGTTAATGTCAAGAACTATGTATAACATCCCAAATATAGTTTCACAAGTTCCTTTTTTAATTCCAAAATCGTTTTCTCTGCAGAAGATGTGATATCACTTTTTATGTGTTTCTCCTTTTAGCTTATGCTACTTTATAATACTTCGGGTACAATGTCAAATAACCCCGTAAAAGAAGAAATCTGGGGAAATTATTGTTAGCATCTCTAAAAGATGGAAGATGTCAATAACATTCACCAAAAAAATTGTGACTCATTTCGGATGTCAGAATTCTGGGTTGAACAGACTGGGTTCTGAAATGTGTGTATGTCAGATGATTTTCTAATGAGCAACAGATAGTTCCCACTGGAGAATGAAAAAATAAAAATAAAAATATAAACAGAGATACCAAATTAAAATAACTTTATGAATGGCAGTTTAACTTCTCCATAAAATTCTCTCAGTGCAAGCCCAGTGTCTCCAAATGGTTGCTTAATGTAGCACACCACTTAGATTCAAAATGCTATACTTAAAATTGTCGCAAAATTAAAAAGAGAATCATATACCACTTGGCTGTATACTGTATTCTTCACATGTTCTTACATTCCAGTAACCTCAATCCAACGTTTCTTTTTTTTGTTGTTGCTGAATTACTTTGTGCAAAAGCAATTTAAATTACATGCAGCCTGACTACGTGTGATAATTTGAGCTGATTGTTAATTAATTCTGTAAGTAAATAGCTGCAGCAATCTCTATACTCATCAAGGTTTCGTTATCTATCAGCTCTTACTTTAATGTACAGTAGAAAGCAGCTGTAACTGAACAGGAAGGAGCCCCTGAGTATGTGAGAAGATAGTTGCTTTGCAAGGCTCAGTTTTGGGGAGGTGACACATCATGGGATTTAGGGTGAAGAGAGTTTCGCTGATGTGCAGTCTCAGCAACTAGGAAGCAGAGATAAAAGCTAATATAACAAATCGGATCAGATGTTGTATAATATCAAGAGACGAGGATAAGAGCAAAGCTTCTGGAGTCCACCAGGCCTGGGTTCAAATCCCAGGTCCGCCGTTTGTGAACAAGGAATCCTTGGGTACCTTATCTACATAAACTACCTATTGGTTTCACCCCTTCATCTGTTAACTGGGGATAACAATTCATACATTTCCCATCTGTTCAGGAAGACTGACAATATCTACCTCCTAGAGATTTTGTGAACAATAAGTTAAATAAGGTTATACAAGTGGTAACAGAATTTGACATAAAATGTGTTCAGCTCTGTGTGTGTGTGTGTAAAGCAGTGGTTCGGTATTCAACTTGGAAAACCAAGTTGATTTTACCCCATAGAAGAAATGTGGCAATATCCACAGGCATTTCGATCTCCACTATCTAGAGCAATAGATGCCACTGAAGGGGGTGCTGCTTAACCACCTACAGTCTCCCCAAGACCAAAGATTACCGGGCCTCAAATGTCCTGTTGCTCCAGTTGCTCAAAGGCATAATTTCATTGGTTATCTCTTTGTAATATTAGCTGGCTACTGGATACTTTGATACCCAAGGAAGAAAACAAACTATTTTTATCATCATCATCCTTACATAGTTCACTTAGCGAATCTCTCTTAAATTAGAGGAAGCCTAGAGTTGCCCAATCTGTTAAGCTAATTATGTCGATTCAATATTACATTAATTGCTATCAACAATAGATGTTTTGGTGAACCCCTTTTTCTGCCAATCCTTTCTAGGGTGAATCCAACTGCAACCAAGAGATTTAAAGCCAGCAGCATAAGGGGTAGGAAATGAAAATTAAACATTGTTCAAAGCCAAGGCTGTTTGGAGGCTCAGAAAGAAACAAAAACGGCCTAAGACAATTGCGTGTCCACACTGTCAGCTCCCGTGCCAGTGAGGACCCTTCGGAGATCACTGTCTCATGGCCATTTCTGGAAAGCACTGATTCACACATCAGTGGGTTGCTTTCTGTCTCTGCTCTCAAAAGCAGATAGACCCTGTCGCAGGGGTTCCCAAACATGTCTGTATGTTGGTGTCACCTGGGAACTTCAAAAACTGCCAAGGATTGTGAGCTAATCTGTTGGGAGCTTGGGTGGCAGGGAGTCCGGGGGGCTTCACTAAGCTTTAAAAAATTCCAATAATTTTCAAAGATTTTTCCAGGTGATTCTAATCTTAGGCAAGTCTGGGAACCACTGCCTTAGGAGATAAAACCAAGTCAAGATTTCCATCCCTCCCAAACTTAAGATGCAACTTTTGAAAGGATGATCAAAATGGACTTGGCAAGAATCTTTTCCCACCCTGAGCTGTGTAAGCATAGTAGAATCAAACCAGGGTGCCAACTGCATTATTTACTTCAGTCACTCATTGAGCATTAATGGATCCACCAGGCTTTGGGGCTAGTAATGCGAAAGTGGTTCTCCAGAACGTGTCACCAACTCTCAACAGTACCACTCAACCACCAGGACTATTGCCTGTTGAGATCTTAAGACGTCTCTGGGAATCAGCTTGGCTGCATGTATGAGAATACATTCTATTAACTCTTTTCTCCATCTTAGGATTCTGCTGAATGGGTAGAGGTGATTTATAAGTTAACTGCACCACTGCCCAGTCTGGTTCTCAATCTAACATGATTTCATGTCATGTGTTTCTTTTATACACTCATCAGGATTGTAACTGAAGTGGTTACTTCTTGGCTAACTTTTCTGATGCTTGTGAAAGGCAGGGGACCATGTCTCTCTTAGTCACTGCAGTATCTCAGTGCCCAGTCCAGAGCTTGCTACATAGCAGACCATTTATTATGTAGGCATGAATGAATAAATGTGGGAGTTCTCAAATACATGCAGCATTTACATTTCTCAGTCTTCTCTTCAACCAGACCCTCGGTCAAGGACTTTGGAGGTTCCCTTTCAGGAGGTTATATGGAAATAAAGTATGTTCCCAAGAAGCCCACCCCCCAAGCCACACAGATTACCACCTGAACAGGGACCCAACAAATGCTAAGGAAAAGAAAAGGGTGGTAACTTAGAGTCTTTGAGGGCAGAAATAGGAAAGAGTTTATAAACAGTTTATTTATAACCACTTTTCTGATGCAGAGAGGAAACTGAGGTTTGGGGGAAGCAAAGGAAAAAAGCAACTTGATGGAGATCACATATCTGGGCAGTAATACCCAGCATGCAAGACCCTTTGCTACTTCTGAGAGTTGCAAAGCACTGTGACGGTGAGCTGATGATGTGCTATGATGTGTGATTGGGTAGACCAAAGTCAGTGAATTCTTGATTCACTTCACCCATCACTAAAAAAAAAATCCATGGTAAAAATAACTGTCACAAATTCCTGTGATAGGTGAAACTTGTAATGCTTGTAAAATTTTATAATTATTGTGCTCTTTACTTTTTATTTATATTTTAATTCGAAATTATACTGTTCAAGAGTGCTTCATACTTTTTAACACGACTTGTATTTTTATACAAGTCCAAATATGATATTTTCTGCAAATATCTGTGCTTCCATCACTAGGTCATGTCAACTATAGTGGATTTGTGTATGTGTGTTCTCTTTTTTCATCTAGATATGCAACTCACAAATGAAAAGCATGCAGACGAGAAACCCATTAATGCTATCATTATAAATTCCGTATCTGAATTCAATATCACAGATGGACCAGCCAAGGAAACCCCCAGTGAGAAAAAACTGTCAGAACCCAACACATCACTGTCCTCCCTTGAAGAATGCCAAACGAAATTTTCCTACCTCCAAACCGATACGTCAGTTCATCCGAGAGACAATGATGGTATGTTTCTCAGAATCAACCCATCTCTAAATAAAGCTCCCCGGCCCCCAGCCCCTATAAAATCCTCACATACGCTGTTAGGAAAAAAACAAGTCTTTATGAATATTAAACAGGAAGACTTCGATTTGAAAACCCTGGTGAATGACACATGCCAAGGTCACTTTGCCATTATGAGGTGCTTGGCTGGTTGTTTGTTCTCAAAGCAGGGAATTGGAGGCAACATGTTTTAAATAGCTGGAGTAAGGCATAACCATTCTTTCTATGGAGATATGAAGTGGATAAAGAAGGTGACTGAGTCTTTTTCTTCTCGGATCTGGGACTATTCAGCCCATGACTCTATGTTGAGAGGAGAAGAAGGCAGAATGGAGGGGCATTGAAATGCTGCAAATATATAAATAGAGACTATATAAAATAGCAGCATGCTACATCAGCAACCTGTGAAAAAGGGCTGGTGCCTCTATGTCACATCACCTCCAGGCATTCTGATCAGAGCAAAACTATACCACACCATTGCTGCATAGGACATCAAAGGCACGTGCCATTTGCAAAGCCAGTTGCCAATTGATTTGGTGCTAAGTGATCAACACGGTCAACTTCAAAGTCATGGACTCCACACCAAGACATATGGCATTTTATTCACGTTGACTATGCAGCGACCTTTATAGGAGACATAAACCATTCAAGAATTGTATAGTGATCCATATCTACATTTGCCTTTAAAGAAAGGTTGGAGTTTCTCAAAGGAAATGTAATAGGGCATAGTTTCTGGTCTCTATGTAAATTCATATTTACTTTTTGAAAAAAAAATAGATACATAAACTTTCTATAACAGCAACTTTGGAATCACATTAGTGATTCCTGGCCCTGAAATTTATTAACTGTATGAAACTGGGTAAGTTTTTTACCATCTCTGAATCTCAGCCTCAGTTATATCATGGAGCTAGTAACATGCCACAGAGTGTTTTTAAGATCAAATGAAATAACATGTGGAAAGCATACAGTGGAGAATCTGTTACATAATGGAGAATCAAATTTTGGATTCACTATGATAATGGTTTTAGAAAGTCAGGGGAGATATTTCTAACATGTTATATATGATCTTGTGCAAATGTCATGGATGCTTTAGACCAGAAGCTACAGACACAAATGCCTGCAGTTACCAGGAGGTAATGTGAATTCCAGGAAACTGGAAGTAAATAATAGGGAATGGTGAGGAATGCATCAAAGTAAAGAACATTGTCTCTACTCAGCTCCAGCTAATTGTTGTCAGAAAGAAATATAAGCTACAGTTGCCAAATGTAGACAGTTATGTGGAATCTCCAACTTTTTAAGTGTTGGCAAGAGTTCTATTTGTTTAACGAAGTCCCAGACACTCCCAACAATACATAGCTTTGGGCCAACTTTTCCCTGTGGACTGCTTATGACCTCAGATCATCCAAGATGGTGTCCACATTTCTGGCTTTGTGAGAGTTGGATCCCAATCAAGAAAGTAGGCAATACAGAAGAGTTCTGTACAAAAAGCATTATGATGTTAGAGCATTTTATGGGATTGTATCAGGGATGCATGGATTTTATTTGTAATGATCCCAGGATTAGAAATTGCTATTATATGTATCCATGTACTACAATACAGTACCCTCCCTGGAACCACTCTGATCTGCCCTACCTGGGATTCTGGGAACACAAGAAGGGCCAGTGCAGCCAGCATGATACCTGAAGGCTTATGTTCTCAGGGAAAGGCCAAAATGACTACTCCGTTAAAAGGCAACATCTGGGATTCTGGGAACACAAGAAGGGCCAGTGCAGCCAGCATGATACCTGAAGGCTTATGTTCTCAGGGAAAGGCCAAAATGACTACTCCGTTAAAAGGCAACAGTCAGGAGCCTCATGCAGGAAAAGAAGCCATTACATGTTCTTCCAAAGAGCAAAGGGGAGACATGAGGAAGTCAGATTAGATCGTCTGTTTTAAGGCCTGGGCTAAGGCCAGTACAACCCAGGAAATTCCAGTTTTAAGCTGGTCACATAGGGATTAGCCCACCCTTTCCTTCCAACATAGTGCAAAAATCCCCCATGGGGGTAAAAGTTTCTGGAACCTGGATGAAAGACAGTGTAAAACACCCAAACTACGGCCCACAAACAGTAATAAGAAACTCTCATTATCCCAAACAGCAAACATGAAGGAAATCAACAGTGAAGTCTGAGAATTTTTATAGTAATTAATGTAAGGATATAGAAATTGAGAGCTGGGGTCATGGCTCTCACTGTGATAAACACAGAAATATCTTTCAGGAACAGCAGGAGAAACAGAAGGGAAAAGAGAAGATTGCATCCACTTTTCTGTAGTGCGTGGTTAATTTATTTTCAAATGTATAAATGAGTGCATAGGAATGGATGCTTAATTGCTAATATCTATTATTTATATACATTGCCCCCACTTAAAACAGGATGGAAAAGCCTCACACACGCAGATTTTGTAAAATATGTTACATCCATTAGCCCAGTTCATGGTGTGTGCTCTGATGGGAATTTAAAAGGATCTTAACTGCACATCACACACTACGCGCTGCAACGTTACTTTATTATTAAATTGTGATTCATCCCATGTGGTCCCTTTCCCGAATAAAATGGAAAAAGTCCAGAGCACTATCTGTATTTCTGCTCCTGTTTCTGTGTTCTGATGGTGAAAGCAACCCCATGGGTAATGAAATCAGGGACGCACACGACTTTAAAAAACAGCCTCCTTCAAAGGAATCCTGAGAATATACTTAATTGATGTATAATTTTGAATTTGAGACATCTCGTCCAGGTGGAAAAGGAAAATCATAAACATGAGATACCTCCAAAGAATAGTCTTAATTACACCATGGACTATTGAATAAAATGATTACATTTTCTCCTCTGTAAATTTCATACAATTAAATGCAGTAGTGTCACCTTATAAAATGTTTCAATTTTATAATTATTTCAGTTCATTTGCTCAGAAAAAAACATAAGGACAAATTTACTAAGTATCACCCAAATCTACTCATTCTAAAGAACTGACTTGAATGTTAGTTGTGCTTGTCTGAACTTAAATAGATCTTGACATATTTAAGTAGCTATTAAAATTGATAAGATCAAGTATGATACCCCAGCTACAGAAAGGTATTCAGTCACACTTTATTTATTCCCACTCTACCTTACAGATCCTTTTTTTTTATATATATATATATAAGAAAATGTTGGGGGAGTGGGAACCAATTTTTCTACATTTTTAACCAAAAACTTTTACTAATCAGTTGGAGCCACTGGGTCCTGAATCTCATGATTATGTTGAATTCTCTGTGATAGCACGTTAACCCCTCATATGTTAGAATACAGGGTTTGGCCTGGGTTCATTTGCCTGTTTCCTCCTTACTTGATTTTGGGGGGGAACTAGGGAACATAATCATTCATCTGTGGTCACTTCTGAAGTACCATATTTTGGCTGCTTTGGGTAGTGATTTCCCAGCTACCAGGTGGCATGTTCCTGGAGCTGGGGAGTATTACAGAAGCTGGGGGAGGCTAGAGTGCCTCTGGCTCTCTCTCCCCCTAATCTCACATGTCACGGTGGCAAGATGGAAAGCTGGAAGTGAGAACTCAGGGCATAGAGGATCGTGAGCCTGAGGCTGACCTCAAGGACATTTGAGGAAACTCCGTGCACTGTTACTTTTTCCACTACAATTAACCAAGATCTTTTTTAATGAGGCAAATTCTCCTTCTTAATTGGCCAATCCCCAGTGGTGCATTTGGCACCTCTGGACGCTGCATGAATCTGTCAGTGTCACTAGGGTATCACTAAGCACATCACAGCCTGGATGTCCTGGAGGTACCCTATGGGTGTAAGGAGGAAATCAAACAGCCCCACGAGGGTTTCTGTCATGGCTTCTTGCTCACAGCCAAATACCACTCTGGACTCTGGCTATACGGGCTGAAGATATTGGTTGCATCTTAACCCTTCTTTAATTCAGGTTTCAAAAGGTAGGAAGAGGGAACGCGAGACGGGCACTTTGACAGCAGCGATTAAAGCCTATGCCAGGATGCCAGGTAGAACAACAGAGGGAATTTAATTTACAGAGAACTTAGCACAAAGGTATTAGAGGTAGTGAAAAACCCAGTAAGGGCACAGTGAGGCACGACTCAGCACCAACAGGAATGCCGTGCCACCTCTTCCCTTGGTCCCTCCATGCCACTAGCAGACCACCAGTGCTGGCATTAAGCTGGTAGACCACTAGCAACTGTCACTAGATGGACTGCTAGGAACGGGTGTTAGCAAGTGATGCACAGAGAAGGGGTTCAGAGAGAGATAAAACCAAGGAGAAGACACAGCTATTGCCTAAGACACTACTCACAGCAGAGAGAAACAGAGGAGAGGAGAAATACCCCGGGCTTTCCCTGCCTCTCACCATCCCATTTCCTGTGCATCCTCCTACTGGGTGCAGCTAGCCAGAAGCCACTTGGCGGAGCCTAGGAGACAGGCTCTACCAGTCTTGGGAATACAGAGCAGAGCAGGGTAAGAGTAAGAAATAGCGGGGAGCAGGCCCATGGTAAGCCTGCAGTGTCCTGGGCACATGAAGGAAGAAAAAGTGAGTGTTATGAAGGGCAACTTCAGGGCTAAGTGTTCTGGGGGAGATAGTCTGGGTTCCAACGGCAGCCTCACCATTTCCCGTGTTTCTTAAACTCTCTGAGCCACAGTTTCCTCATCTATAAACAAGAGCAGTAATAGCACCCAACTCAGGATTATTTCAAGACCTATGTGAAAAGCACATAAAGTGAAGAGGAAACCAGGTTTGCTTTACATCAAACAATTGACGCATACAACAGGCAGGAGAGTATGGACTCTGCCGCCAGAAAGACTTGGCTTCGAATCCCTCTTCAGTGTTTTACACAGGGAAGATTCAGGACCGTCGGTGATTATCTCTGACCCTTTCATCTAAAAAATGGGGACTTTTTGATCTCTTACTATTCATTCATTCATTCATTCAAAAAAAGATATGGCCTTCCTATGACTTAGGTTCTATTATGGGGAGAAACTAAGGGACAAACTAATTAGGTTAATGTCATTCTATGGTCAGTGTTTTGAAGAAAAAACAAAGCAAGTGCCATGAGTGTCAGTGAGGATGTGATTTAGAGGGAAGGTGTTGTAAACTAAAGACCCAAAGGCTGAGTAGGAGTTAGGACAATTTGTGAGGGGAGAGTGTACAACGCAGGCCAGAGACAGAGCTCAGAGCTGGCGAGCCCCAGGAGCTGAGATGCAACCAGTGGGGCTGGAGCAGAGCAAGCGGGTGAGGAGGGCCAGCAGACAGGGGCCCGATCATGCAGGGAGGGCCTTGCAGGCTATGGCAGGGACCTGGGACTTGAGGGAGAGTGAGATGTTCTAATATGTAATTAACCACAGGAGCTGATGAATTTGAGGTGGGCTCACAAGGAAGCAGTGCCCTAGATGGGATGCTATTGCTATTGACCTGATGATGGCAGATGGTGGCTTGAACTCAGGTGGTGGCCCTGGATGTGGCCGGAGGTGTATGGATTTCCACTGTGAATCTGAGATGGAATCAGCACAACTCAGTAAAGAATTGGCTGGCGAGGGTCTGAGGAAGAAAAGGGAAATGACAGGAGAAAGTCCCAGCTTTCTGTTGAAATGTTCTGTGTGTGTAGGAGCCATGCCCAAGAAAGAACTGGAGGGGGCCCAGGTTTGTGGCATGGGGCAAAGAGGGAGACTCCTGATGCCGCTTGGCCTTCATGAGTCTGAGATGTTTAGAAGACATTGCAGAAGAGATGTAAAGCAGGCAGTCAGATGTATGGCACACACTTTGGATGGACTGGGAGAAGGGGTGTTAGTCACAGCCTATGACTGTGAATAGCATATTTATTAAACATTCAAACCCCAAGAAATAGTGCAAGCAAAGAAAAATAGACCCATTCCGGAGAAGGGGAAGTCCAACTCTCTTGCCAAATAGTTGCAAATTTCTCCTGGACCGCTTAGGTTACTTTTGTGCAAACAAAAATTGGCCATATGCAAAACAGTTTTGCCTGCTCCTGCAGAATTATTTAATACGCCTTTTAGGAAAAGTGTGGAACACACTTGAAAGTTTGGAAAAATCTGTTTTCAATTCATTAACATTGCTGTGTTTTTTTGGGCAAAAGGCTCTGCCTTCTATAACCAAATAAAAAGGACTGACTTATAAACAGAAAAAAAAAGGGATTTATTCTCAAGTGCAAAATAGAGACGCAAAAGGAAACAAATGCCAATTTGGCCGATGGAATGGGCCAAAAGATTATTTTCTGTAAATAAATTCGACAGTACACATCAGAAGCAGAGATCTCCAGGGCCTGCCAACTTGAGAAGACATTGGCAAGAGGAATTGAACCAAAAAGTTATCTGCCCTCAGGAAATTATAAGGCCGTTTTATAAACAGGTTCTTCACACTCTGGTAGGAAACACCAGCTCCTAGTCTCAAAAGTCACTGTGCACCCAGCTCACCTCCAGCCTCGGGAATCATGGAGCATTTGCCTGAAGTATTTTCTACTGAGAACTTCTTTGCCACGGGGTTCTCTGTAGGAGCTCTTATTGGCATTGGGAAAACTTGATAAGGTTTTCGTGCCTCACATCTCTGACCACCAACATGCCCTCTTCAGAAATGCCTGTGTAAAATAGAGTCTATGTACTATATTCACTAACTCCTGAATTTTTGTGGGTGGTTTGTGGTGACTTATGAGATATGGGTAAGTTGGCCACACGCTAGAACCCGGCTCTAAGTGAAGAAAAATAGACCATGTCTGGCAAAGAGATGAGCACATACACCATCGAGACATTATGGGATATGCTGCCTTGGCTATAAGTACTAAGTCCTGGCCACCTGCAACAATATATGGCAATTAAAGTCATCATAAACGTCATGGCATGGTTCTTTACCACAGTCTCGCTGGAAAGGCAGGAAAGAAGGAGGCAGGGACAGAGGTCGGGAGGGACAGAGGAGGCCGGAAGATTTCATTTGCTTATAGGCAGGGGTCACTTTAGACCTGCACAGAGGGTTTTTAAAGTAAATCAAAGTGGCCTTCTTTAAAATATGTGTTCCCTTTTGCAGCAAGTTTCCATGTTCTTCCTTCTCATATAAATGAGCAAGTATGTGGATAATACAAGGAAAAAGGCTGCTGGAAATGCTATAGAAGTAAAAGACTGGGCCTCTAATAACACTTAGAACACTAGCAGATTCAGAGAGCAAGATCTCTCCTATGAGCTTACACAGGCTCAGTCAGCTGAAGTTCAAAACCAAAAAGTCATTCAAATTCTTACTGGAGAAAAATCAATCCTTATGGAAGTCGAACTTTGATTGATAAGCCTTCAGGAGGGGGACATTTTTCTCTATTTCATGCTACTGTTACATTCAACCACCAACAATCTTCAGGATACTAATATTAATTACTTAGATGATAGTAACACTTATGCGAACATTTAGCTACCATTTGACAAAACGCTCACATGGTTTTGAGACTTTCTTAACTAAAAAAAAGGGAAGTTATAATTTTAACAAGAGAATTGCCACATCTCCTAGTTAAATCCCTTTATGGAAACAAAAAATATATAATAATCTATAATCCATCACAGCTGCTTGGCTAGAATTACCAATTACCTTCAATGCCTTAGAGATACCCTGCAGATTTTTACAAGTCTGTATAGTATATTTTTAAACTAATTTTCTTAAAGAGTATTGATAAGATTTATATCCTTTTAGGCATATAATGACATATTTCATTTAACTTGAATATACAATATCAAGGCTTTACATAAGTAGAAGAAAAAAGAGGGATTAAAAACAAATTATAACCAAAAAAAAAAAAAAAGCCTATGACTATTTGAAAAATCATTTATATTAGGTTTGGAAATGTGCTTTTCATTCCCATTTGAAGATGGGTGTGGTGGGTTTATGGGAATCTACGTCAAACAAACAAGTCAGTCTTGTGAGGAGAAGCTGGAAATTTGTACAACCTCTGCTTCTCCCCACCTGCGATTGCGCCTCAAATCTCCCCGCATTGGAGAGGGCCTGCTATTGTTCAGACAGTTGCGAGACTTCCAGATAGGTATCTAATTGGGTGGCTTCCCAGCACCTCTACAAGCAAAGTAAAAAATGGAGTTTAGAAAAGTGACAGCACTTTAAATAACCAGATTATGTAGAATCGATAGGAAATGCACAGAAAGTTAATGAAGCAATTACTTAAGGAGAGTGAGAGCTACAGGGGGTGGGGGTCGGATGCTTGAGAAAGTAACATTGCATGTTACCCCAGTATGGATAAATAAGTAAGAGTTGGCTATAAAGATCTCAAGCATAGCACCAGATGTGCCTGCCCTTCATAGATGCCCAATATGGGCCACTGTTAATTGTCTTTCTTCTTCTTTAAACAGAGGAGTGTGCTTCCCTGATTCTTGCCTGTCTGTTTGGCCAGTTTGGGGATTGTCTCCTGATGCTCCCCCATGCGTGTGAAACAGTGTGTACCAACTGGTGCTGCCCCTCTCACAGGTATCACCACACCTCAGACGAAAGCCACTCGCAGAATGATTGCAACTGCAGCTGTGACATGGACTGCAGCCTTTTTGAATCCTGCCATGAGACCAGCGACTGTCTGGAGCTGGCCATGGAGATCTCAGAAATCTGTTACCGCTAGCACGAGGACATTAGCACATTCCAGCAGACCCTTTGGCCCCACAGGGAAATTCTATAACAATAAGATTGTAATTTCCCTGTGCTGAAACGTAGGGCTGTACACATTTCTTGGATGCTGTAGACCATTTTATTCTGCACCTGTCTGGAAAGCTAGTATTGTCAACTCAATGATCTTATTCCAAATTTCACAACCGCATGGCTCACTGAAAAATTAGATCTTATCACAAGTGATGAACAAATTTTAAATACCTCTTAAATGCCATAGGTACAAGATGTTTCTTGACTATAAAATAGCATGCTAAACCACGCTGGGTTACTGCACTCACTGGCTTGCACCATGGACTCAACTTCATTCATAAAATCAGAACAAATTAGTGCATTCTTTCAGAACTGACATACATTAGCTCATCTTTCTAATGGACTCATGCATAAACATTATGTATTGTTGGTTATTATTAATAATGTATTGTATAACATCATTTTGTAATTAAAATTTTATTTATACAGTCTCTTAAAATTCACTTATATTTACAGTTTAGGTAGGAAAGGGAATTAAATGAATTAGAAGCCATGCTCCTATAATTACAACAGATGTCTCTAAGACATCTCCAGTGAATTTTGAATACGGTGTACTTTGAGAGAGTACTGTAATTCTAGACCATATTATTATATGTCTATGACTATGTCATAGCAGGTTATGCATATTCTTAATTTGATTACAGAAAGGCTCTTCTTTATTCTAATGAGCATAAATGGGAATTATGTGCAACTTTCAAGAAAATGACCCCAGATAATCAACTCTTCATTTTCCTCATTTCTGTTTGTCAGGCACAATAAGCAACAGGATATTAAAAGGGAATCAGAGCCTTTTACTAAACTACCATTTGTATGGACAGCCTAACGAAATATATGTGCAGATACTTACTAAGCACCGAGGGTCCTAATACAGCATGTGCATCAGGAATGGTAGCTTTTTTTTCTGATAATTAACGTAATTCATTATTATGTTGAATAGTCCTCACAGTTACAAAAAACTTTTTTAAAGATGTGATATCAACTTAGAAAGTTATTTTTTTCAACTCAAATTAAAACAAACAATTTTAGAGGAAAACACATAGAAGATGAAGTAACATTGGAATCTTCTTTACTTTCTGCAGGGCATGGCATTGCTCATTAATCTGTGGTTATATATTCCCATGGAGATATCTCACTATATTCATACAATACAAAAAAGCAGACTAGGTCAGTGACCAAGCAAAGAACACAGAGGCTGAGAGGAGAGTCAAGGGAACTTCTTGCAATCTAGACACACAACGACAAATTCCAAAATACCTGTTTTGGCCTGACTTGGCTCATTTCAGGCAAAAGCAACACTTTTGTTTTTATGGTAAACTAAGCACATTTTTCTACTCCAATAAATTCCTCCAAACTGAAAACTAAATGTTTTAAAAATATTTTTAAGCCGCCTCTAATAAGGTATTTAACTGCTTTGTCTTGTTGCTGCCAGCACAGCGAATCCATGGCTACCGCCAGCTTCATTCCTGTTTGATGGTCATGTTATTCACAGACCGCAGAGCTGGAGAGAGCCCCACACTCCTTAAGAAACTCTTCAGTCTCTCTGCTTTTCAGGAGCTCAGGGGCAGCTTTATACTTTATGCATGAAACAACATGTACATCACTGGGGAAAAGAAGTAGATTCGTAGGATAGGAAGGGACCCCAGCACTGTTCTTTTCTAATAGCCTCATTTGTCATAAGAGAAAATAGAGACCCCAGGAACAGACTTATCCAAGATCCTGCAGTGAGTTAATGGCAGTGTCAGGAACTCTGACTGGTGGTCTGATTGTCTAAGTACCCTGTGCCATTCCATATTCTCCATTTCTTGAGTCTAGCTGGTACACAGAGGTACAGCTGTTCCAATAGTTCAAATATGGAAATACTACCAGACTGCCTCATAAACACTTGCTACCTTGTACCTCCTTAGTACTTCCCCATGTCCCCAGCTACCGTGGCCCCCTCCAAACACCCACTCCACCCCTAGGAGAACTCCTGGACCTGCAGAGGGTTGCTGGAAGCCTGTCCCAATAATGTGGGTACCTGGTGTCATTGATCAAGCCATGCCATATCGGTATTAAATAGTTTGACGCCGTTTTCTAGTCTATATACTCTAGTGCAAAGATTATGCATTTCAAATGTGAATGGAATGCTTGTCAATTAGAGACAGAAAAACCGCCAGGTCTTATTTTACAATGTGGTCAGAATACTACAAGATCTTTCTGTGGCCTCTCTTTCCACAGTTTGTTAACTTGTTCCACACTTTCACAATTCACCATGCTCTAACAGAAAGAGCCAGTTATACAAAGTGTGAAATTTCTTTTCTTTATAACCAATAATAAAACATTATCCTTTTTGCAAACACGAATGGCTCTTGCAATTGAATTCTTACACAGTAAAACATATGCAGCTGGGAAAATGCAATTGCAGAGAGGGGAGAGATGAAAAAGGAACGTGGTTATTGATTAAATACAAATATCAGAATCTGAGAAGGCTCAGATTACTTTCCAGAATGATGAAGGCCTGTGATTACAAATAAAGATAATGTTATTCTTTAAGGTGGGCTTCTTAGGGAACAGAGTGTTCCTATTTAAGGACGCATACTAGATAAAAGAGACTGGAGGACATACAACCTTAACAGGGAATGGAGATCAGAGACTTCTCCCACAGCAATATAAGATAGTTACATTATTTTTCCTTTGCTCAATGGATTTTTATAAAACCATTGCTTCTCTGAAAGCCTACACAATACAGAAAGCAATGAAGAAATGAAGCTACATTTAACTTGCTAATGAAATTTTCCCAATACAGAGGCTGATAGGCCTACAAAATTAATTATCAATGCTGGACAACATTAATAAAGCACAAGTTGCTTTCACTTTTTTCCCAGGAAGTAAGAAAACATATTCAGGCAGGGAAACTTTACAAATAGGAAACATCAGGTGAAGGAATATCAACACTTTTTTTTTTTCAAGGATAAATGTGTAGGTGGAAATGAAGGGCAGACTTTATTATCCAATGCCTCCAAATTTCTCCCTTTACAAGATGGAGCAAAAGAATAATATGTACACTTAAACTGGACTCTTAGAGTTTTGCCCATCAAATGCTAAGTTCACCCAGGCTACACCAACTGATGACCTGTGATAAAATTTAAGTACTCGTTTTAATGGCTTGTTGGGTGTTCTTTGAAGAATACCTGAGTTAAAACGTACACAGCTGCCATCTACAGCCTCGTGTGAGCTGTGGAGAAAGGTTATCTGAATAGAGAATGATTTTCCAGCGATTATAATCGCTAGCATTGTATTAGTGGGCTCCGTTACACAGGTCGGTCTGAACAGCTCCTAGTGTTACTGGCAGGAGCCGAGAATGGGGGAAGGAGAGAGGAGGGAAGCAGGGGCGTGGCCTGCCTCATCATGTGGTTGAAAGTGCCACCTTCTGATCTACCATCTGGACATGCTTCCCAGCCCTGCTTTTGCTAGTGTCTCCCAAGCAGTGGTTCTCATTTAAGGAGGATTTGGCACACACCCCCAACCACGGGAAATATATGCCAACATCTGGAGATGTATTTGGTTGTCCCAGTGGACAGAAGGGAGGATACTAGTAGCATCTAGTGAGTAGAAGCTAGGAATGCTAGTAAACAGCCTACGACACACAGAACAACTGTCACAACAAATGAAGACTCTGAAAATCTTTCTATCAGTCCCAACAAACCATTGTCAAACTGACCTGGAAGAACTATTAGAAAGAAAGTCACCAGATCAAACAGGGGATACCCAGCCCACTTTCAGTTTCAGATAAACAACAAATAATATTTTAGTACAAGCATGTCCCAGATATTGCATGCGACACACTACAAACATGATTCCTCACTTTCCTGAAATTCAAGCTGGTTGTCCTGTATTTCTATTTGCTAAGTCTAGCTGCCCTCATTCAAAAGACTCTAATTTTGACAAGGAAGCCAGGGAAGTGATGATCCTTTAGTTCCTGGGGGAGGAGGAAGTGTTTCTCTCTTTGGTCAGAGGCCAGGACATTCTGGACCACACTTTGGACTACATTTTGCATTGTGGTGTAATGTAGGTTCAGGGATCCCGGCTTCTAGATCAATTCTAAAGCAGGATACTCTCATTTTCCCCTCTGCCCAGGCTTACACAGGGTCTACCACCTTGGACTAAGCTGGCTATGCCTCATTCTCAATGCTTCAAATCTCTTTTGGCAACTAAGCAGACACCTCAGTCAAGGGCTATCTTGATTCAAGGGATAGGAAGCAGAAATCCTCATTTGAGCCTTGGCATCTAAACCACATTTTCTGATTCAGTCTTGGCTGGAAAGACCCATTGTGATCAGTGGCTGCACAGGCATAATGGAGCATTTTCCTCTATCTAGATATTTTCCTTTCCAATAGCTCCCTCTGTCAAAACTCTGTGGGAAAAGGGGAGCATAGGAGGGTGGGATTGAGGCATTGCTTGGTCCTGGATTGCAATACCATCCGCTAACACCATAACTTCACCATGTTCCCTCAGTATATAGTGGGGGTAGACCAGAAAGCCTGAACATATTCTCTTTACTACATTTTTTCTTTTACAGATGAAAAAATTATCAAATAGAAAATATTTGATTAAATGCTTCATATACATTATCACAATTTAAACAGCTCTGTGAAACAGATTCTGTTATTACTCCCACTATCCTAGGGCAAATAGAGACTTAAAATATTAAGTAACTTGCCCAAATTCATATTTGAACTGTCACAGGTTCAAACCCAGGTCTGTTTATTCTGAAGCCCATGCTTTTAATCATTAAGCCTAAACACTGCACACATGAAAAAAAGATCAAATCAAGATAAAGTTCAAGTATTCACTTCTAAAGCAAAGCAATCAGAAAAATATAATGATTATATTCAAAGAAAACCATTTGCTGACAGTAAATGTTTTAAAAGTTGTTATCCTGTG